TCAGATGGGAGCAAGCCATTCGGAAAGGAGTCACAGCCCTTGTCCTCCTTCTTCCAGCACAGCCAAGCCACTTCCACCAAGGGCACTGGTTGGACTTACTGGGGTTTTAAATGTACAGTAAACGCAACCCTTTGGGGGCGCGAGAGACGTCATGAGCTACCCACAGGGCGGCACCTTTCCGAGGGGCCCTCCTTCCCCCGAGGAAGCTCCCTGTCTCCCCGAACACAACCCGCCCGGGCAAAAAAAAAAAGGCCCTGAAAGCGAGGCCGGCTCCCACCCTAGACAGCCCTTTCAGGGGTTTGAGGGCCGCCCCCTTTGGCAGACACCCGCGAGACTCACTCGCAGTTTCTGTTCCAGCTGCCGAATCCGCTGCTCGGCCACAAAACTCAAGCTAATCCCGCTGCCGGGCCTCATTCCGCGGCTGGAAGGGTCAGGAAAGGGGGGAGAGGCCGCGTCTCCTCCGTTTGTTGACTTCTTCTTTTGTTCAGAGGCGCTCTTCCCCAAGCCGGGCGAGAGCCGTTTGAGCCAGCCAATCAGGAGCAGAGATTTAGCTTCGCGGGGGTTGCTACGGTTACCGGCCCGGCAGAGGAGATTTGTTATGATTGGCTGGATGCAGAACGAGGAGATGAGGCGGAACTAAGGCGCTAATAAAGCAATGCTGGGGATTACTTTTCTATCCTCTCTTCTCAGTCCCGGTTTAGATCCGGAGATAAGACAGGGGCTCGCTGGGGGCGTGGAAGTGGAAGTGGGGTGTGGTCTTGGCGCGTGGTTTCTGCTCTTCCCACGTCAGGAGGACGCCTCTCCATGCACAGCATTTTCAATATTTCTATTATTTTGCCCGTAGCTAACCGACTTTACCGCTGCACCTAGGGTTGTTTCTTTCGCGCGTGCGTGCGTGCGTGCGTGTGTGTGTGTGTGTGTGTGTGTGTGTGAGAGAGAGAGAGAGAGACAGAGAGAGAGATTTTGCATATCTGAGGTTGTTGATATTTCTTCTGGCAATCTTAATTCCGGTTTGGGATTTCTCCAGTCCAGCCTTCCACATGATGTATTCTGCATATAAGTTGAATAAGCAGGGGGACAATATACAGCCTTGTCGTACTCCTTTCCCAATTTTGAACCAATAAAAAGTGTGTGTGTTAGTCTGTTGCAAAAAAAGATAAAATTTAAAAAAAACCAACAAAAGTTTGTGGCACCTTAAAGAAAATTTAATTTGTCATAAACTTTCCTGAACTTGCCTGTTTAGTAGCTTTCTGGTGGATCTGTCAAATGGCTATATTAATGCACCTCTTCAATACACAACAAGAATAGCTTATACAGTATTAAGAGAGACGGCTGTTATGTAGAACTGGTGGCTAGAAAGGGGTGGGCATTGCCATATCCATCATCTCAGGCTGTGTATAAGACCACTGCTACAATTGGCGTCATCAAGTCCTCCCTCTATCCAGTGGAAGAGATGTTGCTATTTGATGTTAAAGATATCTCTTCCTCCCCCCACCCATGGTGCAACAGAGGAGTCTGCTATTTGCGCAAATGTTTCATTGACTACTAGACTGTCATGAGCCCTGACCAGACCAAAGGTTTCTGTCATGGCAGCTCAACCATCCCAGTCAGAAACTTTACCATTACTCGTCGTCATCATTTAGTCGTTTAGTCACGTCCGACACTTCGTGACCCCATGGATCAGAGCACGCCAGGCCCTCCTGCCTTCCACTGCCTCCTGTAGTTGTGTCAATTTCATGTTGGTTGCTTCGCAGACACTGTCCAGCCATCTCGTCCTCTATCGTCCCCTTCTCTTGCCTTCACACTTTCCTAGCACACCACAATATCAGGTATGACAGTAAGCAAGATGAACAAATATGTCATTTCTTGGTTCATACCCTCTTAACAAAGCGGTTGATATGCCTATTCAAACATTTATCTACAACCTAGTATTTCCTATTATTATAAATGTAATATACACTGTTCTTTTGGGCACTATGATACATATATGATACATATATCAGCAGCTCTGACAGGGTCTGAGTCCATCTCATTTTCAAATGAGATGGACTCAGACCAAGTGAAGTTTGTAGGCAAGGCCCATTATTAGATAAAAGGTCAATATTTTATTTTATTTAAAATATTTTATCCCATCTGTGAAGATCAGGAGGAAATTAGTGTGCCGTCTCCTCCGGTGAAAGGACACCAAAGAGAAGGGAGGCAGTCTGGAGAAAGTCGATGAACAAGAGAGAGTTAAAACATAGGTTTGTCTGACAGAGGAAGGGAAAGGACGAGGAGCAATGGGTAGAGGTATGGGAAGAAGGTATAAGAGGGGAAGAGAAGGCGTGAGAATTTCAAGTAACAACGGACAAAAAGAGAGAGGAGAGGGAGAAAACAAAAGCGCATGAAGAGATCTGTTAGACGATTTCCCAAATCTGAGGGTCGGTGGGCTGTTACCAGATCCAGAGCCCAAGCGAGGAGGCGTGGTGGTGCAAGAAACGACGGAATGGACGGTGGTGGCTTACCCGTGAGGTCAGGGTCCTTCGAGGAAGGTGATACGGCTGGACGCGACTTTCGACAAACCACCACTGGAGGGACACTGGCCACGACACCATTGTTGTGGAACTCTCTGTGCGGTGAGAAGTGCTCCCCTCAGGAAGCCTACCGACAAGGAGCGATTTGGTCCGGCTCCCCGGTTTTAAGGAATGAATATATAGTAAATCAGTATGGGCAGGTGGAGAGAAAGTTGAATGACTGGGACAGTTTGGAACCCATAGAAGTTGTTGTTGATACATCGCTGTTAAGAGTTAATAAAGATAGTTCTGTTCCAGGAGATCAGACTCCTAGTTTTCCTGCATACCTCGACAAACCACCAAAAATGAATTATGAACCTTTTGACACCATCTTTCTTCTTTAAAAGGACCAAGGCAGCTTAAAAATACAACATTCAAAAGCTAAAAACAATAAGTATACAGTAAGTATACAAATACAAAAAAGGAATTTAAAAAGTATTATATTAAAAGCAGTAATTAAAATCAGTACTAAATACATTTAAAACCAATCCATTGAAAAACCCCTCTCAGACCATCAGTTAGTAAGGATAAGCTTGACTGAAGAGAAAGCTCTTCACCTGCTTACAGAAGAACAGCAAAGATGGGGCCAGCCTGGTGTCCTGTGGGAAGGCGTTCCATAGTCTGAGAGCAGTGACAGAGAAGGCCTTCTCATGTATCCCCACCAAGCGCACCTGTGAAGGTGGTGGGAGTGACTGAATGCTCTTAATGTCTGGCCAGGCTCATAGAGTGGGATGCAGTCTTTTACATAGCTTGGGCCCCTCCCTTTTAATACATTGAGATTGAATACTAGAGTTGTACTAATAATTTCAAGATCTCTGTGCACATCAGTGAGGCTAAATCATTAAGAAACACACTGAGCTAAGAAACAGCTCCTTAGTCTGACAGCCACATTTAGTGTAGTGTATTCTCAGCATTGTCACACTGTTGTTAGACTGTATCAGTGACAAAATCTGGTACTTTTCAGACTTCGTGCAGACACAAGAGTATGAAGCAAATGAATCTCATTATGACTGCTGATTCATTGCTTTTCAGGGCTATAAATAAACATGTTGCATAAATGGCATTAGTGTTCCAAGATTTTGTAGAATCATGAAATATTCAGAAGGGGTCATCCACAGTAACAAAAATAATGCTGATCCCATTCATAGAAAAGCTACTCTTTGGGCAAAAAGATAAAAGTTTTTTTTTCTTTTAAGCTTCTTTTGCTGGCTACAATCAGAAATATGATCAAAGCATCACCTGTGCTGTCTCCTGAGACAGAAGGCCATTTTATGTGGTGATTGATAGGGAAGTGCAAATAAACAAGATGATGTCCTGATTAACCTGATGCAGGAACAAGGCCTTCAACATGTCTTGGCATTGAGCATAGTCTGTCAAGTGGGCCATGAGAAGACAGTGCTGATTCCAGACAGCAACGGACTCTTAATTCATTATTTCCTGCCCCCACTTTGCATGGCAGGAGGCATTGCAATAAATGAGGATTCGTCATGTTTGAGCCCTCAGCTCAGATTTTGCCAAAATACACACATGCAACGTACCAAAAGTTTAAAGCCCCATCCAGAAAGTTGCAGGGAGAAGGAAACAACATGGATGGTTGCTCAGTGTCACTTCTTGGCATGTATGACTACCTTGGGAACTGCATTAATGCCATTTATGCAGTATTTTTTGTTGCAGAGTTTTGAAATGTTGGTTTCCTTCCTCAGCTGTGCAACAAAAGGGCAGGGATTCACAGAGTATAGTAACTGCCAGTTCTCGGATAGTCCACCCGTCTCATGAACTGGCACTTACATTCTCAGAGACATTAGTAGCATAGTAGTATTAGCAGTATAAAGGATAAAAATGTTGCATTTATTTAAAATTGTGATTAGAATAACAACAAACTAATAGCCATGACTTCTTTTAAAAACTGCATCAATATACTTTTAATGACATTTTCAACCAACCACTATCAAACGACACTCTTGAGAAAAAAGAAGTCTCAGCAGAGAAGTGATACTGTCTTTCAATTCAGTGCCAGGGGAGAACTATTAGTTAATGCTGGACACATTGACAGTTACCACAGCCTAGAAAGCTCTCTCCCAATCAAACAAGCTGGAAGGCAGCATGTGAGGTTGTCAAAACTCCAACATTTTATGTTCTGTGTATAAAACATTTGGGTAACTACTTGATTTTGGGACAGGGTGAGTCATGGGAAACAGTCAAATAGTATTTGCTATCACTAATGTGATTTAAAAGCAGTATTAGATCTGAAGCAGGAACAGATGACTGTATAGAGATTAATATACAAACTTTTTAATATACCATTTTCCAAGAAAGGTTGTTGGCATGGCCCAGCAAATGCTACATGAAAAGCTGAGTTAATTTTCTTCCACATGTTGAAATTTACTCTTGCACTTGAAAACCTATGAGGAGAACAGATTCTATTTTCCATGGAGGGCACAAGAACTAGGAGCAAGACATTTATTTTGTATAAACGTCACAATTTTTTTAAAAAAGAAAGGCCCATGTAGAACCATTCCTGTTATTCTTCGGAAGATGTGTAATAGTTTTTAAACAAGCCTCCAAGATCTGTTGGTTGATATCTGTTTGACTATCTGCTGTGCAATACTACAACAGTATTGAAATTAGTTTATCAATTGCTAAATTTTTATTCATTGATTTTCCTATACAATTACTTTTGTACAAATATGTGATCAAATATGGATTTCTGAATGAAAATTTTATAATATAAATTTTATAAAAGGTAATAGTATTTAAGGTTTTCAAGTAAAACAGTAACAAGAATAAAAATAATTCAAGAAAATACATGAGAACAAAATGGTTCACTTCTGAAGGCTCATTGTGGCTTGCAAAGGAGGAGACATTCAATATTCTGCTGTGCTGTCCAGGCAAGGCAGGGTTAATTTTCCAAAATGGCATAAAACCACAAAGATGTAGCCACATACAGTGGTGACTCGACTTACGAATGTCCCGACTGATGACCATTTTGAGTTATGACTAGCTCTGGCCGCAAAATTTTGCTTTGATTTGCGGCTGGAGCTTCAAGTTACAACCAAAAAAAGGCAGGGAAAAAAGGCAGGGAATTCAAATTGCTAACTGTTGGTAGCTGAAGAGGCTGCTTCTTTGTAGCTCTTTCGCCCCAGCGGTTAGAGAGTGTGCAATCGGAGGAGGTTTTGGACTGCCTGGTAGGGTAAGGTGCTGCTTTCTGCTTTTAAAAAACTGTTCTGGGTGGGTTTTGCAGTGTGGTTTTGAGCTGGGGGGTTTCTGTTTCCGTGCTGTGATGGGTCTTGCAGTCTTTGTGTTTTTTTTCCCCATTTCTGATGGGTCTTGGGGGGTTTATTTGCTTTTTGGGTTTTCCACCCCATTTCCAATGGGTCTTCCAGGGTTTGTTTGCTTTTTGGGTTCCCCCCACTCCCAATTTCCAATGGGTCTCGGGGGGGGGTTGTTTGCCTTTTGTTTTTTTCCCCCATTTGCTATGGGTCTTGCAAGGTTTGTTTGCTTTTTGGTTTCTCCCCCCCCCCATTTACGATGGGTCTTGCAGGGTTTGTTTGCTTTTTGCTTTGCTTTTCTTGCATTTGCTATGGGTCTTGCACTGTTTGCTTGCTTTCTGCTTTGCTTTTATGCATTTCTGATGGGTCTTGCATGATTTGTTTGCTTTTTGCTTTGTTTTTGCATTTCTGAAGGGTCTTGCATAGTTTGTTTGCTTTTCTTTTCTCCCCCCCTCCCTTCAGCCGGAACAGATTAATCGCATTTCCGAGGGGTCTTGCAGTGTTGGGTTTTTTTGAGTGATTTGTTTTCTTCAGCTGCAACGGATTAATTGCATTTCAATGCATTTCTATGGGAAATGGTGCTTTGACTTACGACCATTCCAAGTTATGACCGGAGTTCCGGAACCAATTAAGTTCGTAAGTCGAGGCACCACTGTATCTTTACCTAGGAAGCTCAGACAAGCAAAACAGCAAGAGAAGAGGGCAAGTTAGATGCAGGCTCAAGATTGAGGAGACAGGGCATACAAGTAACTTGAACCATATGTGTAACAGCCACCCTAGAGTGATTCTGGTAGGTGTCATTTGTCAAAGACCAAAACAGGCTTTTGTGAGGAGTAACTAACACAGCATTCATGATCTGCTGGAAGGGGCCATCCAGCAGTTTGAAACTTACCCAAGTGGTGTGATATCCAAGATAACCTTGGAAAGCTGGCTATTCACTGAGATATTCTCTGCTGTTACATTTTTTTTTTTTTTTTGCTTAAGGCAGTCTTGGCAGAAATGTAACATTAGTTACATAGTGGTGAAAAAAGGGGAAGGGATTAGACTAAATCACTGCCTTAGAGATTTGTCCAATGAGGGTGTCTGGGAGAAGGCGGCTGAGGCAGCTCCAACTCTTGGGGAAGGAACTGTGATTTTTTTTTAGCTTGAGAAACTGTGACTCCTCAAATGCTAAGATGACAGGCTCTAGTCCACCTGGGTAGTATTGTGAGCAAAGACCTCTTGCCCAAGCAAGTAGCGAGGATGGAAACAAACAGTGAGATTTTCTTATGGATGAGATTTTCTTGATGTAAATATTCAGTAGTGTGCACATATCCAATTTCTGCCACAACTTTGTCATCTGTTTAAGTAGGATAGGTGCAATCAGAGAGCAAGGTCAGATTCTGGGACCTTTGAAACAGTTTCCTTTGGAGACAAAGGAGATATCAGAACTCGAGACATTTGAACAGGACCAGCAGGAATGGGAGAAGGACCCCAGATTTCTGTACCCCCTGACACAAACTTGAAGATTATTTTCTTTTTAGAGATATGTGCTAGTTTAATTTCGGTTGAATTCCAGCAATTTAACATTCTGATACAGTACTTTCCCAAACTCCTGCAGAAATATGCTTAAGTACCGTATTTTTCCATGTATAAGACTATACTTTTGTCTAAAATCTTTAGATTAAAAATTGAGGGTCGTCTTATACACGGAAGGAGAAAAAACAAGTGGAAGGGAAAGCAGGGATCAAAGTGATCCTGCAGGGATCCCTGCTTCCCCCTCCACTTGTGAAGCCTTAACAAAAGGAAAGCAGGGATCAAAGTGCTGCAGGATCGCTCTGATCTCTGCTTTCCTCTCTGCTTGCCAAGTCCCACGGGCTTAGCAAAAGGAGGGGGGAAGGATTAAAGCAATCCTGTGGCTGCATAAGGGGGAAAGGGATCAAAATAATTGTGCAGTCGTGGAATTGCTTTGATCCCTTTCCCCCTCCTTTTGCTAAGCCATGTGAAGCTTAGCACAAAGGGAGAAAGCAGGGATTAAAGACATCCTGCACCACTTTGATCCTTTTTACCCTACATTTGCTAAGCTCCACTTAGATTTATTAATTTTGGGTTAGGAAAGTGGGGGCGTCTTATACATGGGGGTGTCTTATACACGAAAATATGGTAGTTCATTATTCCAGTTTTATGTTTCTATTGGAATAAAGCAACCCAGGTCCTCCTCTCATGTGTTTTTCAGACATACCGTTGTGCAATTGGCTGTGTCACACAGAATAAGGAGGCTTTATCTTTCATGTTCAGAGGATGAGAAACCTGAACTTGCTCAAAGGGTATTAGAGGCGAGCTACCCTGTTTCCCTGAAAATAAGCCCTAACCTGAAAATAAGCCCTAGTATGATTTTTCAGGATGCTTGTAATATAAGCCCTATGCCAAAAATAAGCCCTAGTTAAGTGAAAGCCCGCCCTCCACCACTGTGAAGCAACCAGAAGATGACATGACTGTATTTGAATAAATGTAGATTGTTGTACATGAAAAAAATAAAACATCCCTTGAAAATAAGCCCTAATGCGTTTTTGGAGCAAAAATTAATATAAGACCCTGTCTTAGTTTCAGGGAAACATGGTAACTTGCTCTTGAATTATCTTTGTCAATGAAATGCAAAATCTGGTAAATATGGAACCACAAGCTTGGAAACTCCTGTAATTTGTTGATTAGTAAATGATCTTCCCTTTGAGGAAAAAAATCATGAAGTGTATGTAAGCTAAAAGAGTTCAGAAGGGGCAGGTCCTAATTCCACCCAGTTCAACGGTTGTCTATAAACTTATCTGATATTTCTACAATTAATGCTATGATCAGTTCTAATCTTAACGGCGTTTAGTCTCCTTTAGGAAAACAGATTTCTTGTCATGTAGTCTTTGAAAGGAACACCACTTTTAGGTACAAGGGTTCTGACAAGGGAGTGATTGGTGCGTTAATCACTGGTACCTCGAGCATCCCTACACCAGGAGAAGACACATGTGATTTCTGTGCCAATATTTTTGCAATATTTTTGCATCTGGATGGGAGCTAATTATGGCATATATAAGAAGCACCTCTAGTAACTGGTAACATGTGAACTAGTAATATATTTGAACAGGTAAGGAATGAGTAATTTCTGATTATAATTAAGATAAACTTACAACAAAGTTAAACTCAGAAATACAAAAGTGTGTGTAGTTTGAACAAATACTCTTCATACAAACATTATACAGTGCAGTTAAATACAATACAAAGTTTATTAAAAATAGGTTGCAAGTGAAATACAGTAGAAATGGGGACCTACAGCAGTTTTGATGTTTTTTTCTCATAATAATACACAAACAATTATGAAAAGCATTTTTGATCATATTCACATGTGGCCTGAATGCCCATCAGCGGTCAAATCCACTCCACAGTTAAGTGATATTTCTTTGCTTAGGTTCTAGCAGCAACAATATTCCAGCCACAAAATATTTAGTGTTCTCAAGATAAATTGGGGGAGGCTTGCTTACCTGATTAACAGATATAGCAAGCATGCAAATCCTTCATTAACACTTTCAACCAATTTCATCTCCTACTTCATATTTAACAGGTGAACGGTAAAAGCACACTTTCAAATAAGAAATCTGAAATATGTAAAAAAAATATTTACACTCCAATTTTAATATCATTAACTTGAATTTATTTTTTATCATACAACTTATTAAAAGTGATTTCTAAGGCAGTGAAAGTCTATCCTCTGCATTTGGAAGTGTGCATAATTCCCTAAATATATATTTATAAGAGAACATATTATACAGAAAAATCATCTAAAACCCAATTAAGGGCTTTATGAAATAGAAAATTTGCTTCAAATCACAATATAATATATTGTTTTCAACATCACACAATGAGAAACAAACTCAGATGAGGTCCTTATTCTCAGCATCAACCATATACACATAACTGAAGGAAAAATGGTAGGAGAAGGTTTCAACCATTTAGAAAATTAAATAATGCTGCAATATAGTGTGAAAAATAGCTTGAACTGCCAATACTTGCTACAGTATTTCAGAAAAGGACCCTAATAAACCAGAGGCAGCTTGACCACCACTTCCCAACATGAAGGACTAGTAGGGTGCTGGCCAGAGCACTGTTAAGCCACCTCAGTGAAATCCTTATTGGCAGGCAATATTTTGGCCAATATCCTATGACCTAAATACAAGGCAAGCAGGTTTTCTGACATGCAATCAGCTGCACAACTGCCCTTGCAACCAGTGCAAGAACAGGCATGCTCCAGGAAGCCTGCCTGAGAAACAAGGATGGTTATATGATTAACCTTCCACTCTGTGTTTAAGCAATAGGATATGAGCCTTCTTTTCCATAGCAGCTGCAATAACTACATTTCCTCTGAGCACAGTGCTTAGTATGCTATCTATTTGTAATTGAAATCTAGTCTCTTTGTGAAAATTTAACTTTGGTTTTGGCTTGGCTACAACAAGACTACTAGTAAGAGCTTATTCCTATTGCTTATATCTAGAATTTCTACATAGTTTAAAAATCCTATTGTGCCTAGTCACACATTCACACGCACACATCCATAAATTCATCCAGCTTCTACTAGCCTCTTCAGCGCTCACCAAAACACTGAAAGTTTTAACTGATTTGCAGATCAGCATAGGGGTAAGAGAATAACTGGGAAAACTAGGGCACTTGTCACTCTGCTGGATAGCCATCAAGATGTCAACTGTTTAATGTCCAAAGCTCTATCTGTATGATATAGATGCTTTGTGTAAGGATTCAGTGCTCCATTGAAGCCCTTCAGTTTCAGAATATTCAACTTGTTTTCACTGCAAAAGCTTATTCAAGGTAACCCAATGAATTCAATCCTAACTTTCAGTGATATGCTAATAGTGTATATGAACAGCTGTCAATATCTCTTTAAGTTTGTATACCACCACAGAGCTTTTATCAAACACCCTACAGTGTAACAAACCAGTGCAGAGATTAGGCAGTTCAAGCTATAGCCACCCTTTCAGCTTAGCAGCTAAAAAAGGATTTCTGTAAGAAACCAGGAAGCAACTGGGAGTACTGTAATAGTAGTTAAACCCCCAAACAAAGGTAAGACATGGAGAAAGGACATGACACTTGATTCATATTAATTAAAATATATGTTACAGTGCTTTAATTGTATAAACCACAAAGCTCTTGGTAAAGAATGATTTTTCTTGCTATTGCAACATGTTTAAAGTAAAACAGTTCAAACAGAGAATTCAATCTCATTTATCTGAAGACATTTAGCTCTTCTTAAAAACCGTCTTCTCTAGTCCCACAAAGATTCTTCTGATTTATGTTTAATAAGGTGCCTTTTATCCTATTTTGTATTCAGTTCATTTTCCAATTCCATTAATTTCCTAGATGCCTTTACTTTGTTGGACACATCCTGGCCCTGGGAGAAGAGTCTCTGTCGCTCCCGGAAAGTCAAGTTCTCTGGTGCACCAGGTAACTCTGTATCTTGACTGCAAAAAAATGAAAATAAATAAAACCTTGGGTTCTTTAAGGTACATCATAATGCCTCATGTACAGATACACTCCATATTTATTAAATTTTGTCTACAAACAGATTTTGTCCAGAACAGCTGGACAGAAGAAAATCAACATGCAGTGGTACATACTTCTAAGTACCACTGCACTAAATAAACATGATTATGATTAGATATGGGGGTATTCATATATGAATATCCCTGCAGAGGTGGCTTTAACAAGGGTCCAGCCCCATGGGGCCGGATGGTCCACTCACCGATCCACCGCGGATGACACAATTCTACCAATGGCTCTGCAGTGTGTGATCTGCTTGCCACCTTTGGCAGGAGGCAGGAGGACAAGCCTCGCTGCAAGGTTGAATAGTGGCAAGCGGATTGCACCCTGCGGAGCCTTTGGTAGAATACAAATACAGTACCCCCATCTCAAATTATGATTAACTGTTGTCCATAAATATTCGCCCCACTCAGCAGCAGACCCATTCAATTGAGAGCAGGGTTTACAGTAAGTGCTAGTATTTGGCACTGGGATAATGAGATATGTCAGGAATTATACTGGTGTACTGGCTATCCCATTGTGCATCAGCCTCACTGCCCAAGCTGGTTGACGTGGTCTTGGGTATGGGGTTGAAATGCCCTAGAACACTTGTGTGGGGCAATGGGGATGCTGATATTGCAGCCACCTTAATAAGCAAAAACCATGACCCTATGTCAAATGTTACACTGGCCCATCTTGCACGACATAATTTTTAATCCAGTGTTTTCAACCAAACAGAACTACTGAATATCAGGAGTCTTCTATGTAACCCCCTACTCATAGTTAGACTATTTATTTGTGAAGTTTAGACTATAAGTAGCAGTTGATTATGGCACTACCTTGGTTTGCAGAACATATGCCTTCTTTGTGGCAGTGAGGGGATTAAGTGACACTACTCCTTTTCCACTTTATGCAGCCATCTAAAATAGCTCAGTCTAGACATTAAGAAGTTCATTAGTTGCGGGAACCTACAAATGTCTACTGTAAGGCACTTTTGGGGATAAAGCTGCCCTTTGACCTTTATACCATTACTATTACCACCTCTTGGGTTAGTTTCAACCTTACATTTTAAACAATACAACTTAAGGATATAGAGAAGATTCTTGAAGAGGTTTTTCTAACCACCTGTATTTCTGGCTGAGAGCAAGAGTAGTGTAATGAACAGCTGTCAGAATAGGACTCAAGGGACCTGAATTCAAATCTCAGTCAGCCACAAAAACTCACAGGGGCTGGCAGTAGTTAAGCCCGGCTTTAACATACCTTGAAAATCTTATTGTGGTTGTCATAAGCAGAAGTAACTTTGTCAACTTTTAAAATTTTGTTTTACTATATGTGTAGAAACAACACCCAAAGCATATACCTCATTCATAACAAGACAGCTTCACATTATGCTACATATACTGGATATCAACAACACTGATATTGTATAGCAGAACAGCTGGACAGAAGAAAATCAACATGGATTTTCAGATTTAATTGGTATAGTTGGTTGAGCAAATAATTATATGTATTTTGTTTACTTATTCACATTTCTATACTGTGCATCTAGTGACCAGGCACTACACTGAGTGTCTAATAACAATAGAAAAAAACCCTACCCACCTACTACCTCTAAGCACAGAAATGTTAAGACCTGACAACAGCTGTATTATAATAATATGCTTAGAGGCTAAGAGGTATTTTCTTTACTTTTAAGAACTTTTGTGCTTTGAAGAAATGCTTTTTACTCTATATAATTTTATTCTTAAAGAGTGTTAACATTTTAAGAGATGGATTCTCTGACTTTTGTTTTAGATTTGCCTCTTTCAGACTATGAGTTCATTTATTTTTCAATGATGCCTATAAATTAAGTTTTATATTTGAATGCCAGCAACTTCTCATAGTTGCAAGACTTTCAGATGGCAATCACACCTGTAACTTGTCATAAGTTGCAAGGAAGTATTTTTAAGTTTCATTCTGGAGTTAACCCTTTATCGGGATAAATGCCAGCTGTGACAAACACAAGCTTCAGATTTTTCCATGGAAGCCTATGGAATTTCTGTAGGACTCTTAGAGAGAGAGAGAGAGAGTGTCAAGCAACTAAATTCTGGGTCTGATACCTGGATGGTAGATTATTAACAGTAACAATAACTTAACAACAATCAGATGAGGGGGGCTGATTTGGTGGCTGCAATTAGGCATTGATACCTTACTGAGAAAGACAGTAATTCTGACTGCCCTGAAGGAGAACAACGTAACCCAACAATTTTAACAACAGTTTCAAGTATTTCCTTTCTAGACAAGGTGCTCAATAGGGTGGTGACAGTCTAACATGTAGCACAGCTGGATGAAAAACTATGTAGATACATTTCAGTCTGGATTCAGGATGCAATTTGAGATGGAAACAGTTTTGGTCACACTGGAGAATGACATTTAATGGCAGATCAAAAGGGAAGTGCAATTCTCTTAATTCCCCTACAGGCTTTTGCTTTGCTTCTATGATATCCTCTCAGACCAGCTCTCTGGGTTGTGATTCCACTTATACCCTACAGAAAGCAGAACTGGAAGACTGATGCTCAACTCTTGTTTCAAGATCCCAGTTAAAGTTTATGGGCTTTAATTTCTACATGTAGTTGCTGAGTAAGGTTATCTGAGGATTTGAAATAAGTTGTTATCAGTGTTCTAACACCACCCTTCTCTTCGTCAATAAATACAGGTGATACTATAGAGGTGCTGAATGACTACCTGGACTCAGTAATGAGGTGAAGAAGGACCAATAAATTAAAATGGAGTCATTATAAAGTGGAGGTACTTTGATTTGGTGGTTTACGATTTCCTACAAAGGAGCAGATGTGCAGGTCTGACATGCTCTTGGTCCTAACCTTGTTTCTTTGGGGGATTCTTTGTGTTTCTGATTCAACAAACTGTAGCCTTTCATGGACAGGAATAGTCACACTACAGTGCTCTATGCTGTACTAACCTCAAGGGTAGATTACTGCAACATTTTATACATGGGTTAGCTCTTGAAAATGGCCAAGGCATTTTTACTGGTAAAGAATTCAACTGCTAGATTTCTGTTGGTTTGACTGGAATAGCGCAGAGAGGGAGGAATAAGTGTAAACAAGCCTTCCATAACAGCACTAAAACATGCCCTTGATTTAGTACAATTATCTTTCTACACTCAATATTTCTACAGGCTGCACTGATATATTTCTGTTCAACAGTCCTTTGAGGCCTTAAAAAGCCTGACATCATATAAATTTCAAATGAGAAGGATATGAAACATCTTAGATAAACACCGCAGTATTATTTAAAGTATTTCTGTTTCACCTTTTTGATTTTTTCTCTCTCGGATCCTGGTGAGATTCGTGTGAGCCTGCAATTGCTCCAGTAGATCCAGTGTAGTTTAAGCCTTATGCAAGAGAAAATAAAATGTTAATTAAAAATAAGAAATCTATTTCTTAATGATGCATGGCAATTTAATCCCCCCCCCCAAAAAGGTGCAGTGCTTTTAGCTGGGAGTTATGTCTCAGCATGTGTTTCTTAGCCTCTGCAAGTGGTTTCAACTACTTTTCTCAAAACACATCCTCTCAGACAACTGTGTTTGAAGGATAAATGCCACTGAACACAAACTGTATCAGTTTGTTTGTCTTTTGTCTTTACTTCTAAATAGAAACTGGATAGACAGAAATAAAATAATATGTAGAATGATAACAAAACAGTAGTAAAGCAATTCAGAATGGCAAACTGCAATTTCTGTATATAGTTAGTCTGCTGAAATCCCAAGAAAGTTATGATAGTTTGAGCACTCCATGTGCAGGACTGCAGTCTGTGGCTGAAATCTTGTTGCATAGGTATAGTTAACTGCAACTAGAGTAAACCTTTTGAATCGGTGGGCTTTTGGTGAGTCAACTCTGTAAGTTCCACTTATTCAATGTGCTTACTCTAGTTGCGACTAAATAGAGATTGGCTAGGTATCAGGATTTCTGCCAGTACTCTAGCCCACTTATTTTATGAAGAGCTGAAGAATGTATCTCCAGCTAAAATCTAGGACCACTGCTTGAATCTTATGCAGTGACCTGATTTTGAGATGCAAGAAGTTTCTATGACAAATTTCTGATAAGTTGATTTAGCCTGTTAACTCCATAGTCAGACTGTGTTTATTTTTTAAAATTTATAATATATACTCTAAGAAGGGAATTAGTGTTGCCTTTTTCATTTATGTTTCTATTCTGCTTACTTTGATACAGCACTGCACCTTTATACTTAATTCTGTGCACTCATACAAGAAAAATTCCCACACAACAGATTGATTTTCTCCCAAAGGCCACAAGACCAAACACACCAATGTTACTAGAAATGTCAACACTGGACCAAGGTTTTAAAGTATCTCTCCCATTTACTATTTATACCATTGGTGAAACAGAGTGTTATCAGAAAATGTTTTTTTTTCCAATTATTAATCTCTTGATACTGCATGTGTTTTTCTTGTGAGCCTTAATCTATACAAAGCAAATGTATGCTCCTTCCATTAGTATTTTATATTCAGTTACTAAACTAGAGTATATGAAACAAAGCTTTTTGCCTCTTTCAGCATTGCAATGGAATACTTAATATCGTATTGACTTAACACTCCAACAATAAACTAAGAATGCAGTTGGATGAATTTGCATCTGGGAGTAATTCCAGATTAACTCACAGATTTAATTTTGAATAAACAAGGATATAATCTATACTGTGTGTTAATGCAATGTTTGTAAATACTGTGTTGTTTTGCCCACTTTTCAATTTCAATGCTATACTGAAAAAAACCCTGCTTGAATACAGATACGGAAGATCATTCACATTTAAGTTTTATCCCCACATTTCAGAGTGCCAGTATTTTGAAGTGATCCCAAATGATACAGTGGAAGGAGCTGTGAAAGTTCAGTTTTGCAGAAGCACAGTTTGCCATATGGTAGTATACATTAAAAGAAAAAAAATGTGAGTGTTACTGAGATGGAGAGATGAGAAGCTGCACAGTGAATTCTGCAATTTGTGCAAACAGCTTTGTACTTTAGATAAGAAGGTAGGAAAGAAGACAGAAGTAATGATATATTCAAACTGAATGCTGAGTTACCTTTAAAAGATTATAAAATAAAGATAGCTAGAATTTGTGGTACAGTTCATGTACTGAATTTAAGGTGAAACTCAAATTACATTGCAAACCTGATAATATAAAAACGTGTCTGTTTTTTTAATGAAATGTTAATTAGGTATTAAGTACCGGAATATTTACATTTTCTAAAATATGAAAGACTGTAAGAGGAGGTACAAGAGGGAAGCAGCAAGGAACTACTTGCTTTGAAACTTCCTGACTTAAGTACATTAACAACAGCAGAAGCAGCACAAAACAATATTCTGCTTTGTGTTATTGTGATTATAAAAGAAAGACCAATAATTAGCCCCTTCCCTGCAGTTTTATTGTAAGACTTAAATCAATGGTTATTGCACCTCCTCCCAATTACCACTGAAAAATGCTTACTCCTATGCCTTTATTCACCATGACTGAGGTGGCATCCCTAACTAGGAGACTGTGCTGGTATCTGAAGGAGATATTTCCTTTACCCAGTATTACAAAACAGTGGGAGGAAATCAATACTCCAAATCTGAAAATCAAGATGCAACACTAGCAAGTTTTATTTTATTATTTGAGCAATCACATGCTCAGTTAATTATGCAAACATCTGGTTTGGGTGATCAGCTTTAAGAAAAGGAGTACAGCTGAAAGGAAGCTTGTGAATATCTGTGAGGTGGTGAGCCAACATGCTCGGGGGGGGGGGGGGGGTGAAAGAGCTCAGCCTGGAAAAGGAAAGAGGGAGGGAAGACAGCTGGGCAAGGTGAAGCAACTTAAAGAGGAATACCTCCCTGGAGGCAACAAGAAGCCAGATAAAAGGGAGGAGAAAGGGGGCTTGGGACCTGGGTCAATGCCCTGGAGGAGCTGCTACCGCCAGATGGAGCCAGAGGAGTGGTGTGCCAACTGACAGCATAACGGAGCCCATCATGCTGGACAGCAAGGACCAGGGGGAAGGGATGGGCTGGTCAGCCAGAGCCTCCATAAAGGACAGTGTAAACCCTCTTTGAGCTGGGTGAAGTCCTATTCTGGTGGACTACAATGTAGAGACACTCAGTGAGGTTAACTGAGAATCCCACTGAAGAAGACTTGTGAATGCCTCTCAACCCACATCTCTCCAGAGTGCACAAATTCTGCAGGGCTCTATGACAACTGCAAACAAAGCTCCTACATGTTTAGACTCTGAAACTGAGCCCATAGAATTTGTGCCAGGGAACCCAGTCGCTGCCAGGTCTGTAGCTCCAGAGGCTGGCGTGACCACAGCATCCCTCTTCTTCACTTCATGTGGTGTTTTATAGAGTCAAAAAATACTAACATTCTAAACTTCTGACTTCCCCTTACTAAAAGCTAAAGAAACTATAATCAATTGCTAGTGTTGCATCTCATTTGCTTGTGTTAAAACTGTAGTGGAACTACAGTATTTGCTGCCAACGTTATTAGTTTGTTGTTTTCTGCTTATAATGAGAGAGGGAAAAGTTCAGGAAAAGGAACAAAAGAAAGGGAAGGAGAACGGAAATGGAGAGGGAAAACCCCACTAATAATGGAAAAATGCATTACTGTTCCAACACTAGGCAATCTGTACTACAAACGTCAAGAGTCAGTGAAGTATTTTTCTTCTCTTCACAAACATATATCTAGAATTTCAAGTACGATCTATGTTTAAAGCCATTTGCACAATATCTACATGACAAATAATAAGCAGAACAGAGATTTCTCCCCATTAAAAATGAACCAGACACACATGTCCTATTGTCATGAGAAACATGTGGCTCAGAAATATGGAAACACCGAGGACCCAATGAAAATAGAAACAGTCACTGAAAGATGTACAGAAAAGCCAAAACCAACAGTACTTTTAGCTGATTGAAGAGAAGTATTAAAATTATTCTGCTTTCATTACATGAAAGTAGGAATTGGAGATTTTGGTAAGAAAATGGAAAGCACACAGTCAAAAACAGGATTTACAGTAGTACATCAAGTTTATGATTGGCTCACCATGCTTACTTGTGCAGAATCAAGTAAGAAATAATCAGATAGGGATTTTGTTTAGAACACCATAGTGGGAAATGTGCAGAGAGTTTCATACAGAAAGATTCTTAATTTAAAAACTTGAGTCTACCTTTCAAGTTGCTGGAATTGATGAAACTCGGTTTGTTTGGTGGGGGAGGGGGCTGGCCTGTTTTGAAAGCAGTACTGTTGGCATTGACCGAGGATGGCTGGAATGAGTTGGCAAGAAAGATGCCATCTGAGGCTGGGCGTGGCTGGCGTGAGGGCTGCTGTGGCTTAAGGGTGGCAGGAGGAAGGTCACCATAAGATTTTCTTGTACTGGAGTACTTATCCTGACCTGCTGCTAGACAGGAATCCTCCTCCTCCTCATCACTGTAAGCAACAAACTTGGCAGTATAAATCGTATCAGGGGAGAGGACCTGTGTTTTGAGGTAAGAGGTGTTTCGCTGAGGTGGGGGAGGAGGAGCATTAGATGAAAGGGGTGGGGGTGGGAATTCATATTCCCGTGGAAGCGGAGGTCTGTACAGACCAGGCTCATCAGGTTCCAGCAATCTCCGTTCTGCCTCATCATGCTGCCGGCGCCTTTCAGCTTCCAAGCGATTGTAATATTCTTCCTCTTGCCGCCTCTGTAGACCCAAAGGGAATAAAAGGATCTCTCAGCCAATGGCAGACTTCAAACAAGTTGATTCTTATGTCACAAAAGATTCCGACACAATTTTCATCCATATCCAAGGAAATGAATCAATCCCCTACTACAAAATATTTACCTGCTTTTTAGATGTTGAATCACAATCATACATGTATTTCGTGTAGGCATGGCACATATTGCATTGAAAAAATACAGGTTACTCACTTATAACTGTAGTTCTTCAAGTAATCACAATGGGGTTCTGTGCCTGCACAAACACTCCACAGAACTTTGCAGAGTTGAGAGCTCTTCATAGTTGCTTCTAAATCTGTTTTAGTAATGCTTTACCTAACATTCTTTGTTTGTTACTAATTCATTTGAATAATTCACTGTTTTTAGCTTTAATATTGTTTTTTAATGGTGTAACCTACGGTGAGTCCTTTCTTAGGAGAAAGGTGGGGTAAAATATAATAAACAGTTTCTGATCTTTCCTGTTTATACTGCACATGCACACATTACTTTAGTCCTACTGTATCTGTCACAAAAAAGGAACTTTTAAAGAGGGAGACAAGCATGGGGAGATAAGCAGGTTGTATGAATTCACAGATGACCACTCAAAAGACGGGTTACTTACCTGTAACCATGGTTCTTCAAGTGGTCATCTGTAAATTCACACAAAAGGGGTTAAATCAGCGCCAGCGTTGGTCCTCTCTGAATGTTCTCGAACTCAAGAGAAAAGAAACAAAGTTTAAGATTGCCTATACTGCGCATGCTCCGCCTGCCACTGCCTCAGCGGATAGTATTCGCCAAAGGTACCTGAGTAAGAGCCAGGTATCACCAGTGACGGATAGTGGGGAGGCCGGGCAGGACTGTGTGAATTCACAGATGACCACTTGAAGAACCATGATTACAGGTAAGTAACACGTCTTTCTTCAGCGTGGTCTCTGTGAATGTACACAAAAGGGTGATTAGCACGCTAACTTACTGGATGGAGGGTCGTCACTGGAGAACAGAGGTCAGCACCGCTCTCCCAAAGGCAGTCTCCTTCTTAGCCCTCAGGTCTAGTCTGCAGTGGGTAATGAAGGTCAAAATATTAGACCAGGTAGCTGACCTGCAGATGTCGGGCACATCAGCACCACAAAGCAAGGCTGAAGATGACGCCATGGCTCTGGTAGAATGAGCCCTCAGGACTTCAGGTGGAGTCTTATGCTGCAGTTCATAATCTAGAGATATAGTGGAGACTAGCCATCTGGAGAGCGTTGATGACGATGCTGGAAGACCCTTCTTATGTCCGAAATAACACAAAAACAGCTTATTCGAAGACCTAAAACCCTTAGCACGTGAAACATAAAACGCAAGTGCCCTTCTGACGTCCAACATGTGGAGCATGCACTCGGTATCATTAGTGGGATTAGAAAACAACGTAGGTAACACCAGAGGTTGATTCATATGAAAGTCTGTCACAACTTTAGGTAAAAAAGAAACATCTTGATATAACATCACTTTTTCTTTGAAAAACTGTAAAAAAGGTTGATCTGTCCTAAGGGCAGCTAATTCACTAACTGTCCTAGCAGATAGCTACTAAGAATAAACATTTAAGAGACATGAACTTTAGGTCACACGCAGCCACAGGTTCAAATAGAGGACGGGTGAGAATGTGCAAAACCATCTGGAGAGACCATTGAGGAACTGGAGGACGAACAGGTGGTCTCAAATTGGTAAGCCCTTTAAGAAAGGTTTTAACTGTTGGGTGAGAAAACAGTCGGGAAGAAGCAGAGTCCTGTGGTTGGAAGGAAACAACAGCAGCGGTGTAAACCTTGAGGGTGGAAACAGACAGGTTAAAGTCAAATAAATAACGCAAAAACTGTAGCAATGTAGACAGAGAAGCCGGGGATGAGGCTAACCCCCTAGCTTCTGTAAATTTCAGGAAACTTTTCCACTTATAACCATATAGGAGGGCAGCGGAAGGCTTTTTAGACTTATCCAAAACTTCCTTTGTTTCTGGGATACTCTCCACGCAGTCAAATACAAAATTTCCAATTCTGGGTGGAATATCTTGCCCCTGTCCTGTGTTAGCAGACCGGGAGAGCAAGGGAGTCTCAGGTATTCCAAGGCCATCTGCATCAACGCCGGAAACCATGGCCGTCGAGGCCAAAAGGGTGCAATGAGAATAGCCTCCCTTGACTCCTGATGAAGGAGGAAATAGATACATGAGAGTGAAAGTCCATGGTATCATAAACGCATCTCCTAGAAATTCCTGCCCCAGGCCCGCTCTTGAGGCATACAACAGGCATTTCCTGTTGTATTGGTTGGAAAAGATGTCCACTGCTGGTGTACCCCAGCGACAGCACAAATCCTTGAATGTCTTGTTGTCCAACTCCCACTTGTGTGTTTGGATCGTGAGGCGACTGAGTTTGTCTGCCAACGCATTGTCCCCTGTGGATACATGAACCGCCACTGGGCAGATGTGCTGCTGGTAACACCATTCCCAGAGGTGCACTGCTAGGTAAAGAAGCGACTTCGAGTGAGTTCCTCCTTGTTTGTTTATATAATACATGGTCGTGGTGTTGTCTGTCACTACTTGCACACCACGACCTTGTATTAGAGGAAGGAAGGATTTGAACGCTTTTATGACGGCTATGATTTCCAAATGATTGATGTGGAGAATTTGCTCTTGAGCTGACCACAGGGCATGAATGTGATGGTGTCCGCAATGTGTGCCCCATCCTATGGGACTCACATCGGTGGTTAACCTGTACAGTTAGCGGAAGAGGTTGAAACGGTCAACCTACTTGTAGATGAGGTGCAAAATTCCACCATCGGAGCTGATGTGCCAATTCTGTGGTTACTGTGAGATGCTTCTCTTGATGGTCTGTGAGAGGATTGAACAAGGACAGGAACCAGCTCTGAAGGGATCTGAGTTTGAGACGGGCATGAGCCAGACCCGGCGTTGTGGATGCCATCAGGCCTAGGAGATGTTGTGCACGCCTTGCTGGCACACGTGCTCTTGGATGAAATTTCTTGATGGCTTTCTGTATTTTCCGTATCCATTCCGTTGGGAGAAATGCGAGCCTTGGTAGTGTCTATTGTAGCACCGATATAGTCTACAACCTGTGAAGGCACAAGCCGTGATTTCTTGCGATTTACTGTGAATCCTAGATTGTTTAGAACATCTAGTATGAACTTTGTGTCTTTCAGGGCCCGACGTCTGGAGGGAGATACCACTAGCCAATTGTCTATATAAGGGTACACCTGGACTCCGTTGAGACGCAGGTACGCTGCAACTGGAGCCATACATTTTGTGAACGTTCTTGGGCTGTTGAGAGCCCAAATGGAAGGGCCAGAAACTGGTAAACTTTGTCCTGAAAGATGAACCTGAGGAACTTGCGGTGATTGGGGAGAATGGTGACGTGAAAATAGGCGTCCTTCAAATCTATCACTACAAACCAATTGTTCTTGTTTAGCAGGTGGATTATGGATTCTAGCGTCACCAGGCGGAAGCGGCATGGACAAAGGTAAGTGTTCCGTGTCCTTAAGTCTAGATTCGCTCTTATGCCTCTGTCTTTTTTGGAAACAGCGAAATATCTTGAGTAAAAACCGTTTGCTATGTCCCTTCTGGGAACTCTTTGAATGGCCCTTTTCTGAAGTAAAGATAGAACTTCTTCTTCTAGAGCAGGATCGTAGGATGTAAACTCTACCTGCCCTAGAGGAGGATATTCTATAAATTCCAGAAGGTAGCCCGACTGAACGATGTTCAAAACCCAGGAATCTTTTGTAATGCTGCACCAGTTTTGAAGATAGGGTTGTAACCTTGTGGTAGGGTGGGAATCGGGAATCATAGTGGTGAAGTCAAAGATACCGTTTAGACTTCTTGGCAGGAAGTTTATATGATTGCTGCCGCTGTGTCTGTTGTGGACGAGAAGTAGAAGTAGAAGAAGTGGCAGTAGAAGCTGCTTGCTGGGAAGCAGTCTTATATTGCCTGTACTGCTGGGAAGGCTGGTAATATTGACCGTAAGGTTTTTTCCATTGATACTTGTTATATCTGGACTGTGGTTGGATGTAATAAGACTTAGCAATCTTCTTTGCCTTATGCAGCTCTTCTAGATGGCCATCTGTCTTCTCGTTGAAAAGGCCCAAGGCATCAAAAGGTAAGTTCTCCACCTTAGCCTTAACATCTTTAAGAATGTTAGCAGCCCTCAACCAAGCATGCCTTCGAAGGGAAAACCACAGATACCAACACTCTGGAGGCTGCCTTGACAGCATGTCGAGTAGACAGCTGTTGATGCTTAGACACCGTCTGGGCTTCCTCATAAGTATTCAGGAAGCCCTGTCGAACGTCCTCAGGTAGCATCTTGAGACCAGGTAAAATTCATAGCCACAGTTGTTTCTGGTAAGCCCCTAAGGCTGTCTGATAATTTGTGACTCTCAGGAGGAAGCATATGAGGGAATAGATCTTTCTGCCCAATACTTCCAGCTTCTTTCCTTCTTTGTTTGTAGGGGTGACATGCAACTTTCCCGTAGGTCTCGTGCAACTGGTCTCCACAATTAACGAATTAGGAATAGGATGCTTCAGTAGAAACGTAGTATCAGAGCCATGTACTCTGTAAAGGTTTTCAGTGCGTCTAGAAATTGGGGGAGTCGTAGAAGGCTGATCCCACATTTCTTTTATAATTTCCAATAGGGCAGGCAAAAAAGATAGACTGGGAGGAGGAGAGCGTTCTTGATTGATGTCCCAAAAAATGAGGTCCTCCGTAGGAGGAGCAGGTTGGTCAACATCCAGCTTTAGTGTCTTAGCTAGCCTTGAAAGCATTTGTGTATAAGAAAAATCCTCTGATGGGGAAGAAGTGTGTGGATCTGCTGTGTCAGATTCAACCACTTCACCTAAGTCTCCCTTAGAAGGTTGTTGAGGTATCTCTTCTTCAGAATCAGAAGGCTGTGATGAAAAGGAAGCATCATCCTCTGAGACATCTAAATGAGGTTGTTTCGGTGGTCTGCGCTCGACATCGAGTGTAGACAATGTTGTTTGCTGTGGAGATTGTGCAGTCGATGTCGAGGGTACAGGGAAAGGTACCATAGGCTGTGGAATGGAGGGTACATTGGGTGGAGGCGCTTCGACACCGAAGGTCTTTCGACGCTGATGTTTCTTTGGGGGCATCGGGGTCAAAGAGGAAGAAGAAACATATATGTACTTGACTCTTTTTCAGCGTCGATGCCGATCCGTTGAGGTAGATGACTCCAAGGTTGAATAGTCCCTACGACGTTGACGTCTCTTACGACGGGACTTAGAGTCTTCAGAATCTTCATTGGAATAAGTGTCTTGTCAACGTCAAGAGTGGCGATGGTGCACAACCACCTCTCGACGCGGAGATCGATGTTGATCCTTTGAGCGTCTCTTGTCCTTGTTAGGCTTACGAGGTGGAGATTTTGACCTCGAAGCAACAGATGAAACAGAACGAGCCAAAGATGCTCTCCCCGTAGAAGCGGGGCTGTGGGGAGCAGAAGTCAATCCTGCAGTAGCACTCATGAGCTGGCTCGGCGTCGGAGAGGAAACGCCTGCAGGCAGAATTGGCTCAGTCTGTCGAGGAGGTAGAGATTGAGATACCTCTGACAGTGAATCTCTGTCCCTCAAGGAATCTTCCAAAATTGGAGAGGGAACAGAAACAGACAATGGTGGCAACTGTTTAAAGCTCTCCTTGCCCTTAGCAGTGGATTTGTTCTTTGGCTGTTTTCCAGATTTCGGCGCCAAAGCGGACTTCTGGACCGTAGCCTTTTTAGAAGCAGCCGTCTTCTTAGGTTTATCCACAGGTTTATCAACAGGTAAGAGGGGAGAGGATGCACCCTCAGGACGGGGGGTGCCCGAAGTTGAGGGAAGCTCCATAGAGGCAGGCTTAGATGACAGGGTAAGGACCCACAAATGATATTTCAGCCTCTGTTTTCTGGCCTTTAGAGCTGCCTTGGTGAACGCCTTACAGTGCTTGCAGCTCTGAGTTGAAAATCCAGTTATTTTTAGCGAGAAAAATAGCGAAAAAAAGGAGCTCGAATGAGAGGTTCCAAACCACTTAGTGGAGAAATGGAACTGAGGCAGTGGCGGGCGGAGCATGCGCAGTATAGGCAATCTTAAACTTTCTTTTCTCTTAAGCTTGAGAACATTCCGAGAGGACCAACACTGGTGCTGATTTAACCCCTTTTGTGTGCATTCACAGAGACCACGCTGAAGAAGAACCAGTTACAGATGAGTAATCTGTCCTTCATCATAGTCTCTACTATTCACACAACTGGGTGACTACCAAGCTGACTTACTGCAGGTGGCTTGTCATTCCAGAACTAAAGATAAAATTGTTCTGCCAAAAGAAGCATCTCTTAGAGCCTGTGCATTGAGTCTATAATGCTTAACAAAAGTAAGAGGTTGGGAGCATGTCATTGCCCTTGCAAATGTTCTGAATATTGACCCCTATCATAGAAGCTGTAGATGAAGCCATATATTTCATAGAATAATAACTGAGTTGGAAAGGGTTTATAAGGCCTTTGAACACAACCCCCTGCTCAATGCAATAATCCAGATCAAAGCAGATTTGACAGATGGCTGTCCAATTTTCTCTTGAATGCCTCCAGTGTTGGCGCGCTCACCACCTCCTGAGGTAATTGGTTCCATTGTCATACTGATTTAACAGTTTAGAAGTTTTTTCCTGCACTCTGGGATGATTGAGAACAGATCTTGCCCCTCCTCTGTATGACTACCTTACAAGCATTTGAAAAGTGCTATCACATATCCCCTCAATCCTTCCTCATAGGGCTTTGTTTCCAGTTCATCCTTGTTGTCCTCCTCTGAACTTGCTCCACTTTGTTGAAATCTTTCTTAAAGTGCAGTATCCAGAACTGGACACAAGACTCTAGATTAGGTCTAACCAGTGCTGAATAAAGGGGAACTAATACCTCACAGGATTTGGAGACTATATTTCTGCAAATACATCCTAAAGTCCAATTTGCCTTTTTTGAAGCCACATTGCACTGTTGGCTCATATTCAGCTTTTAATTTACAGCACCTCCAAGATTCTTCTCACTTGTAATATTATGGAGCCATATATCCCCCATCTTGTAACCGTCCATATGAATTTTCCCCCTAGGTGCAATACTGTGCTCAAGCCTATCAACATCTTTTTGAATTTTGTTCCTGTCTTCTAAAATATTAGCTACAGTACTCCACCCAATTTTGTGCCATCCACAAATTTGATATGCATTTCCAGCACCGCTTCATCCAAGTCATTAATAAAAATATTGAAGGGTACTAGGCCCAGAACTTTTTTTGATACAGAAAAACTGCAAGAAAAGAAGGAAAAAAGACTAAGTTTTAGATGCTATTTACAAATAAAATAAAATAGTTTCACTTTTTGAGTTCTGGAGTGAAACAAAGGTATTGTTGCTGCGGCAGACAAAAAGGGACTGAGGAAATGGGTGGAACATGTGCAATAAAAACAAGGAAAGAATTTTAGAGGCTGTAAGCTCTGGAAGGATTCATGGAGTGTTCATGCAGGCACAGAACCCAATTGTGTGGGTCATAAAGACCACAATGAAGAAATGAAAATTAAAAAGAAAATGAAAAAGAGAACAATCAAGACTAACCACAATATGGAATTCTACCAGGCACTTAAAAGAATACAACTAATTTGTCAAAATTTACTAATCCCCTTTAAAGGTCTCTCTCTTTGTTTTGAAAGTATACCACACCTCTGAAATAAGGCCATTCCTCTTTTACCAAGAGCTCCATAAAGCTTCTTGTATAGTATTGCCAAGGTATTTCAAGCTACAAATTTCAATTTAAATGACTGAATATTGGTTTTCTTGTTAGATTAATTGTGTTCCTCAATTTTTGCAATCCTATTTGGTGTTATTTAATCTAAAACAACAAATGAACCCAATGAAGCCAATACCTGTGGGTCAGCTGTACATCTTACTGCAAATGGAGGCTAACCATTTAGGAGAAGTAGGGCAACTGCCCACCTCAGAGTACTTTAAGCCAATCTACGTCTTAGGTATATAATGTTTTACAACCACCACAAGGAGGATATTTTCAAGTCTCTCTTCATTGGAATTAAATGCAGCTCACTGCCAGTCATAGCTGTAGAAAAGATAGTATTGGCAGAGAGTAACTGAATATATGCCTGCCTGTTTGTGTCTGTCTGTCTATGTGAATGCCTGTATGTATAAATACCCACTTTTGTTCCAGTACTGCCTGTCACTTCTGGCTCTACCCTGCATTGGCTGTTATGCTTTTTTCCCCACTAGCTATTATAGGAGACAGCCATCACTGTTAACCATGTTCATTTGCTGCCACATGCAGCACTCAAATCATTGCTCAAGTGGACAGCAGGAATTTCTGCATGAGAGAAAAGATGTGGACTACTAAGCAAATACTCCTGTGGCTTATCAGAGACAATACTACACCTGCACTTCCTCTTATGGAATGATTAGTAACAGTTCAAACAGACCATTTTAATTTTAAGAATGTTCCTAACAATGATTAGAATGGCCTTATATAATACACGGCCATACATATGGAGGGGGAGACTTTAAATTGACATACAAGAAAGGAGGGAAATGACGTAGAAACAATTATCTATGATCTACTTCCTAAACTCTAGTTAGAATTATCTGCAACAGTTCTATAAGGTCACCTTGATTACAATACATGGCTGATTTTTATGCTTGACTTTCTTATCATCATAATACTCTCATTCTTTTACTTCTTCTTTGGGTTCTCTTTTAATATTTCATATTGCATTTCAAGTTTTCCCTTACTTCTAGAACTGTTCATTCAAGCCCACAAACAGGCACTGCTTATTTCTGCCCACTGAAGCAGTATCTCATCAACAGTAACATAACATTACCATTGTGATTTCCATCCCTTGTTCATGAAATTAAATTGCTACAAGTCAATATAGTTGGGGTAAAGCATACAAAAACTTTGTTTCATTTAGAGAACCATAACCTTTTGCTCAGCCTCTCTCCTTGTTCGCTCCTCCTCTTGGCGCCAGCGCTCCTCTTCTTGTCTGGCTCTGTCTTCTGCCTCCCGTTTACGCATCTCTTCCAACTGCTGCTGCCGCCTGCGCTCTTCATCCTGTAGCTAACAAAGAGCTGTCTTCAATTTCCCCCCACAAATAAAGTCAAAACAATTTTCTTTCGGATAAAATAAAGAATCTGATTTTAGAAAAAAAAATCCCAACATAAAAGCTCCAAGGTACATGGGATGCCAATAAAAGTTTCAACACCTTAACTGTTGAGAAGATTATCTTTAAACAGCTGCTAATTTTCTTGTTACACTGGGGGGAAGGAGAGGGGAAACATCTAGTACTGTAATTATATTGGGTACAGCAAATAAGTACATAAAGGAGACCTATCTAGCCCCTCCTCGTGCATGTTTCAGGTACTGTATTCATAGCATTAAACTGACTATAGACATCTGCTAAGATAATACAAGTACTTTGTACTTGCTTCATGTTGCATCTCATGGCTGTAATAGGCCAAACTACATGTTTTGAACCTATTCTTGGAGGAAGAGATGAAAATTCCTAATTAGGGGGATTCTCACTAGGTAAAATCATATGGTCCTAGAAATGGTCTTGTCCTGGTAGCAGGCATCTGTTTAGTCTACTAAAGCACTAGCAATTATCATTCTCCTTAAATAAATGGCACACAATGCTTTTTAGTGAACTTTTTAAGGCCATCTTGAAGCAAAAAATAAAAAAATAAAAATGCAACCCTTAAACAGCAATTATATATCCAGTTTTAAGAAGGACCAATGTCTACATCTGGATCTTTGTGCAGTATCAGAAAAGATTGCAGAAATAAAATGATGTAATAAAGTGTACCTTGAAAACTACATATAATATCTATTTTAGAAACCTGTGAGAAAATGAATAAAGGAGAACTACTGGACCTTGTCCCACACTGCTCAAAAGAGCTTGAATCATTAATGCAAACATATTGTACAAAGTGGTGTTCTTAAAAAAAGATCCTCGGTCAATAAATAAAATTTAACCCCCTCTTAGGTAGGGGCAGACAGCTTTTTAACTGCACATTCTTCTCATATATTTCAAGCAATCATGATTCAGCTAAAGTTTAACATGTTTAACATCTACTGATTTGAAGAAGACAGTTATGCAGGTGGCTAGATACTTGATTTTATGTCCAAGTCACTGGTTTGAGAGGGAAAATGCTCAGGATCTGAAATGAATCAACCAAATCACAGACTGCTTTAAGGTCTATGGCAGATGACAAACACAAATATTTTTAAAAGGTTAAAGGAAAGGAGAAATGATCAGAGCATAATGAACCCCTTTCCCATCTCATAATAGCTAGATCATATATCATAGATTATGTAAAAGCACTGCTCTGCCTATTCTTATATTAATACCTTGGTATTATGTTGTACTGCTGTATCAGTGGAATGCAGCAATCTGACTACGTAAGGAAGGAATCATTTTGTAAAGGCATTTCTAATACCTATAAATGAGTTCCAACACTGTAACCTAGAAGTTAGCATATCAATAAATGCATAGTTGAAATCAATGGTTTCTAGGCAACTGATGTGAATGCCAAAGCATGAAAACCCACCATAAGATTAGAAGGTAAATACTTAAGGTGGATACTGGAATGTTTCAACTACACTGATATGGTTCATAGGGCAGGAAAACTGCAATGAAGAGGATTTGTTTCACCCATGTATCTTTCAATATTACTATGATATTTTTTCACATTGTCAAATATATGTTTTATATTTAACTAAAGATAGATCACAGCTGCAAACAATTCAAAGATGCAAACAGAACACAACATTTAAAGAAAGAAGGCAGGTGGAGAAAAAAAGTAGTAACATACCTTCAGCAACAGGTGTGTGCTTGCTTACAAGTTTGAAACATTACACCCTGCCTTGAAGTTTTCAAAATATAGACAAATATCCAATGCATATTGGACCATTATTAATTTAAAAAGAAAGAAAAAGAAAAAGAAAAAAGCATTGAGGAAAGGGAATTGAAGAGAAAGAAATAAGAACATACCAAATCTAGAACAGAGATTGCTGGCATAGCAGTCTGCTGCAGGTAGTAAGAGAAGGAAAAAGAAAGATGCACAGTGAAAATAAGGGTAAATTTAGAATTGCACTATGCCAAAAGCACTTTTCTTTGATTTGTTACTACAGCTGTATAAAAAGTAAAAACAGTGTTTGAAATTCTCATGTTAAAGTTGTGGATACTTCTAAATAAATCAGTAAAAATATTTTTTTTTAAAAAAACAGGCTATTTTTTAAATTGCATCCCTTAAAATACTGTAGATAATTAACTTTTGCATGAATAAAATATACATAATATCAGTGGTTTATTGTGAAAAAAGCAGCCAAATTATTCCCTCATTTTTAATGCTTTGTTATGAAAGGGAAAGGTTGTTTACAGTTCTAAAACTGTGCAAAGCATGTATAAAATGTAAATTTAGCAGGCCTGGTATAAAAAGAAGGATTTAGCTGATTATGAAACACAGGTAGCCATCCAAGAAAGGATATGGTATAGATTTCAAAATAGCAAATCTGAATGGCTAGGTGGGGATTGAGGATCATGTAATTTAAAAGCTGTGTGACAAAAACATAGTTAGCAGCAATATGATATAATTAATCCATTAATTGTTAAATATTCCTTTGTTTAATCAGTTAAATTGCAATGGAAAAAATAAGTACAACATAAAAATAAAATTAAAGAAATGCTTTCAGGGGAAAATGCATTAAAAATAAGACTCAAAAAGCAAATGCTTTTCATATCTGCACAAGAAGCACAATATATAAAACAGTTATTGCTAAATAAATATTGGAATAAAATTCTCCTTTCATCTAATCATTAATTGATGTAAAGGCTACATTCCTCATTTTAAACTGACTAGTCTAGATTCTGAAAATAGAGAAAAGTGTGTGAATAATCAGTTTCTAAGATTGTGTTTCTTGGGAAAAAGTTTACTGATGCCTTCTTGAAAGCAAAAGCTACTCTTCTGAAATGAAAAATCTAAATCATATTATGTCTTTCTGAAAGATGAACAAATTATTTCTAAAGGCACAGGCTTCAGCACAGATGTATAAAAAGCTTAATTTGCCTTTTTAAAAGCTATCAACGATAACTGTCCTTTTTTGCCTGTATTGTACAAGTCAGTATGTGAACATAAAATAAAGACAATTATGCCCACACACTGTTTATATGCACAGGAATGAACCTGTATCTATTTTTCCCTGTCATTTCTACACTACAGGCTAAATCCAGTGCTAGCCCTAACTACAACAGATCCACTGAAATCAACAGAATATATGTTACTTCTAACTAATAAGTACCATTCATTTTAATGGGTCTACTTTAGTTTGGACTAACACTGGATTTATACCCACACACCCCCTTTGTCCTGAGAAAGGGTACTGGAAAGAGAGCTAGCTCTAGTTCAAGCCTTCCAGTTAGTAGCTCATAATACACCACTTACAAGAAAAATAGATAAAGCCAAACTTCATTATATACCATGAAAGACAGGGACATTAAGAGAGTCCAGTCCTCCTTTATCCTGTTTTGATGTCTAAATTTTATTTAGGCTAATAGCATGCAGAAATTTTAGTGCAATTTTTTTATTTTGAAAGGATTCTCTCATTTTACCCTTGCCTTTCTCTCGGCTTCTAGTCGCTGCATAATGAGCATAGTATCAATATCATCGTCTTCTTCATCATCCTCATCCTCATCTTTTTGCTTTGACTCCTGCAATCGTTTCTGGAACTGCCACTCAAGCATGAGCTTGCGCAGGCGATCATTCTCTTCAGCTGTGCGATCTGGCTTGTTCTGAAGTTCTTGGATCTCTTTGCTCAGCATATCCACAATGTGCATTTGCTGTTGCTTCTCCAACTTCTCCTTTGCATCTCGCTTCCAAGGGTCAGGTGACAAGCTATCACTAGAGGATAACTCTTCTTTGCTTATGGTGATGTACTGCAGATCTCTCCGTTCAATGGTTCGGGGTTGCTGTTGGGGCTGTAATTCTCGGATGACAGTTTCCTGAGACCTCTGCAGTGTTGAAGGTTTTTCTGGTTTCACCTGCTGAACTGAAACAGGAGGCAGGAGGGACTGAGCAGGAATTAATGGCTGAGCACGCATCTGGCCCAGCTTTCTTTCCTGCTCTCTACGTTTCCTGTCTCGTTCTTCCTCTAAACGTGCCTTTTCTTTTTCATACCATCTTTGATGTTCTTCTCTCTTTTTACGCTCAGCAGCAGCAGCAACCTGAGATGATGCCTGAGGGCCCAACTGATTTGGAGGTGGCGGTGGAGGTGGCAGAGGCAAATCCATTTGTAGTCCATCAAAGTCAGCCGCATAGTGCACTGGTGGGGGAGGCGGAGGGGGAGGAAGGTCTGTTCTGGTGGACTGGGATGTTGTCAATATTGGTTGAGGGGCAATAGGAGTTTTCCAACGACCAGGTCCACTTTTGGTTAAAGAAGAACCAGTGGGGATGGATTTCGAAGAATGGTTTAGATGCTCTTGGCTTGATGTGCTAGAATCCACAGAAGAATTCATCCAAGGATCACTATCTGATTTCCGATCTATATATTCCACATCCTTTCGTATTACAACATCTAATCGATTCCTTTCTGGCTGATACCCTTTATCATCTCGTAGTTCTTCCTGAGAACGTGTTGCACGCTTGGAAGAGAAAGAAAAATAATGTTAGTTTTCACATGTTGATATTCACATACAGCAAACATATACAGATTTTAACATTCTACTACTGTATGATGATGCAATTTTACTTGCTTTTCTTTCAAATCAACACTTTTATTAGCAGCATATTAAAAGACTGAGAATTCTTACATGTAGACTTTACTTCCAAACAAGTTATGCAAGCTCTGAAAGCATTGTCAGGATTATGAAATTACTCTGGCCAGAATCCATGCTGTACTTCCATTCTCACAGATCTTAGAAGTATGCGAAACAAACTACTATTGCTTCTGAAATCTGTTCCCACTGAAATGTGTGGGGCTGTCAATTTAAGAGAGTAAGTGAAGCATACTAACTTCTCTAGTCCTGCCTCCAACTGCTGTGGCAAGTGTCTATTATAATCATAATTAAACATAAGAAGTACAAAGACAGTACTGCCATCTGTTCACGCTGCTCTATTTCACAACTGTTTTTAACCCCCTGAAATGAAAATTAAACAGAAGAGGAACATATCTGATCACAAAATTTCACCTTCAGAGGCATATTGTGCTTTTATTAGTTTGTTCTGTTTTATCACTGTCAAGATTTGCAGTGCCAAAAGCAAAAATATAGTTACTGCATAGTACAGAATTATAATTTGATAGTGAAACACCAAACGGAAAGATCCAATATGTTTAAAAGCTGCAATTTAAGTCAAGCTTCTTCACTGTGCTTCTACAATTTATATTAGACACATAACTGACCAGATTCAAAATAAATGTAGCCAGCAATACAAAAACAACTGATTTCTGTGCTTTTCTATCAGTGACCTTATCCATGACCTAGAAAGAATGCCTTGTTTGGAATGAAAGCATTTCTTACGCTCTATTAGTCAAGAAGCAGTGGACACAAAACAACTTGTGTCAGGCACATTATGAAAATGCAACTAACAGATTGCTAATGATTTGAGTATCTGAAGACAAACATGGCTAAAACAAGCATTTTATGGTTTGACAATAGTTAATGTGATCTTCTAATACAGAGTGGCAATTATAGCCACTCTTAGGAAGCAGCTCTTCCATAAAATAGGTACATGTGTTTTATCAGTGAATTCATCACGATTTAATTTCTGTTTCAAAAGCCTACCAAAGATCAATATAAACTTTATAAGTGTAGGTAATTTAACATGTACCAATTCTTAAGACATAATCATGATTTTTATTCCATGCCACCATCCTGAAACTACTTAGAGAAATGTGAGAGGCTCCCTGAAGGGTCTGGAATCTGGTCGTCCCCTTTGTCTCTTGTACCAGTTGATCCATGAGTGATTTCTCCTGGGCCACCATATCCATGGAATATGGCCATGCTACCCCCACAAAGGCACCAATACCACCAGAAGCTCCTCAGGAGGTGGAGGAGCAAAAGATATCAGAAGGAACTGAGGGTGGAGGTCATCGAGAAAGGGTGAGAAACCATGGAGTGGCCCCTATTGAAGCCACCCAAAGAAGTGCTAGAAGTGTCTAGCTTTAGTTGGCTCAAGATTCAGAACTTCCCCTTTCTCTGTCCTCCTCCTGGAGAAGAGGAAGTCATATGTACCATTGCACACACAGAAGATGACAGCAACCAATCACAGAGCTGGCCCTAATGAGTCTCACTCCTATCCAGCTGAGGTGCTGGAGGAAGCAAAGACAATTACCTTCACCAATTAGAAGCAGAAATATGTGCAATACAAGGTCTGACTTCCTATTTTCCAGGCAGAAGACAGAGAAGAGGGAAATTCTGAATCCAAAGGACTAATGAGAGAAGAGTGAAGTAACCACTCACATCTCCTTTGGACCAAAGCAGTACCCAAGAGTACTTGGGGTAGATTATTTGTTGACATAGATGTTACGGTTTGTAGTTACTTTGTTATCTAGTTAGCTAAAATTAAATTACAAAAGAATTCTGGACCCTGGCTCCTATGGCTGGATCAGTAGACCTTTTGGGAGCCCTTCACCAAGGAGGAGCTGGGAACACATAAAAGAAAATAGCTTCGTTAAAGCAAATTATTTCCAACCTGTATTGTCGCAGTGATATAATGATTACTTTCTGCTGGGATCTGTGGCTTCTCTTCGTAACTTGACCACTGATTCTGAGCAGGTCCCATTCGATCCTGAGACTTGGATGCTGGAAATGTAAAGTACTCCCTGGTGTAAGTTTGTGTCGGGATAGGATATGCTTCTGGTCTGGGTGGTAGTATCTGTTCCTGTATAAACAGAGAAATATAATTTACAGATTTTAAAAAAATCTATTTAAAAAAGAAATACGCCACACATTTTTTTACAAAAATGTATAGGGAATGCCATTTCTAACCTCTGTACAAAGATTTCCAGTAGACACTGATGTTATCTTGTTAGTAGTCCCACTTGCATAAGTGTTCTTGGCTCCAGGGCTTGGAGGCTGATCTGTCAAAAAAAGAGATCTTTTTTTTAAAAAAACTAAGGTTGCCTCCACTAAAGGACGTTTATAATGGATGAAACCCTTTTGGGTGGTGTTCTGCCTGTGCTATGGAAATGATACAACTGTAATGGCTAAAGACTTCCTTCATCAATTTTGGACTCCATACATGGAAATTGTGCACACTCAAAAATTAAAAAAAGGAATTCTTTTAACGAACATCAATCTGCTGATAGTGACATCATTCCTGCTACACAGACAGAGCTGTGCAACAGGATTCTGGCCACTCTCTTTTTTTTGTTGTTGCATCATTTATTTTACAGCTTAATCTCGACATCATCTTCATTTAGGCTTATTTCAGAGTTTAATTCAACTTCATAAAGAAATATATTCCACACAAACTGCATCAAATAATCTCTCGCTTACTTGCTACATTGGGACTAGATCGGTGATCAGCCCGATTCTTCATCAGTCTGTCATCTCCTGGTAACTTCTTTGGTTCATTATATTCTGGCCAAGTTAGTTGAGGACTCTCAGGCGATCCATTCTGAGCAGAGTTGTTATATAGCTCAAAGCCTTCACTCTTTGGTCGGGGTTTACCTGAGCCACGGCGATCTGACACTGCATAAAGAAAGAAAAATATTTTTTTGGATTACATTTGTTTAGGTTAGGGAATCCTGAATTTTCAATTCTCTTCTGAGATTAAATATACTCATCTAAATTGCTGCCAGACTTTTGGCACTATTCTAAAATAAAACAAAAGAAGAGTCATCCTTTACTTGTCACGGTGAATATGTCCCAGAACCAGTCCCTAGCATTTCTACCTAAAAGAGTCTCATGCAAAAGATCTGGCAAATATTTTTTTAAAAAATCCTTGGAGAATCATAATGCACAACAGGGCAGAATAATTCATTTAAGACTTCGCATATGTAAACCAAACAAAGCCAATCGGAAGAAAATGTTCATCAAACCTTAAAAAGTATCTAACATGAAACCTAGACTCTTTTGTTCTTTCAATGGGTAATCATAATTCCCCTTTATATGCAGGGAAATAAACAGGCATGTTTTCTCATTTTAAGACTACAATTGTAAACATACCTGTCAATACTTCTATTCAGACATATCTTTTCAAGGTGCAGCTAGCACATGATCAGCGAAGCACCCAAGACCACCTCTGTCACTGTTTTTATTTTTATTTTTAATGCACAAGTACAGATTCTCTCCCTAAATGAAGAATATATTGTAGCTGGATACCTCTTTGCATCATTGGGGATGGCTGATTAAGAAGAGTTGCTAGGCCATGGTAAATTGCTCCTTGTTTTGCCACTTCTAGAGTCACTACTGATCCTGTTCTTGTCATCAGCTCTGCTGCCCTGAAAAACAGTTTAATAAAATGAATACAAGGAAATTTACTACAATTCTGCAAGATCAAAAAGCCTCAAGAACAATTTAGATCCAGTGATAGAGAACAAAAGTCCAGCAACATTTCTATTACTCAAATTGAAAACTAGATATTAAACTAAAGAAACATATTTAAGCACTTATTCATTTACTTTATTTCTGTCCTGCCTTCCTCCCCCAAAATGTACACAAGAGCCTGGATTAAAACAAATGAACAAACATCAAAAACCAAAAAGTGAATGTCATTTATTCAATATTATTATTTTTAAAAACACCACTGTTTTACTGTATGTGTTGAACCTATACACAGCACAAAATTCTGGCATAATATGACAATTATTGCCAATGTTAATGGCATTGAATAAGAATCAATCTAATTAATCTCTTTTAGAACCATGAGTAAGATAATACCCAGCAAGACAGTCCTGTCAGTTTGCTGCAGCAAAAACAATGAAGAGTCTTGTAGCACCTTAAATATTAACAAGTTTTATTTGGCAATAACATTTCTGGAGTTGGGCCCCCTAGCATCTCAAGAAAAAGCAAATAACCTGTACCCTACGGAGGCAGATGCCCTATTAGGCATTTTCTTCTATTTTGTTTGAGTCTGATGCGGATCTCTGAAATGCAATCAGTGGTATTATAGCAGACAAAGCCACACTAGTCTATGCCACTTTATTCCTATCATCCTGGAAAAAGGGGATCTTCATTTTAAGGCTCCGAAACAACCTCTCAAGAATTTAATATCTAATGGCTTCCAGATGACATAAAGATGTAAAGATACTCCTCAAAGTAGTACACCTGGATATCTCTAGAAAAAGCTTTCAGAGCCATTGTAAACCATAACATTACACCAAACACATTTTAGTCTGCTTACGCCTACTTCAAATATTTTGGTATAGTAAGTAATATGATGCACTTGGTAAAGAGGAGGGAAAAAATCACTATAACGAAAGAGTACAAAAGGCAACAGGAAAGAAATGGCAGAAGCCAGATGACTCTTTGGTCTTTTCTGACACATAAAAACAAAATGTACCTTTCTTGGGAAAGTCCAACCAAACTGCGGCCATCGACACTAAGCAACTGATCCCCTGCAGCCAGCCGACCATCCTAGTTACATTTTTAGTTAAAAAAAATATTTAGTATGAGATAAGTGAGACTAGAAGTATCTAAAATTAATCACTGAAAATTCCACTTTTTTCAAGAGTTACAAATATTACTAACCACATCTGCAGCACCACCTTTCACCACGGACTTTACATAGATTCCAAGTTTATCTTGGCCAGCACCCTAAAAGAAACAAAACAATGTTTTACAAATGCACAACTAACGCTGCAATCCTAAATGTGTTTAAAAGACAGCAGTTCCTTTGTTTTTAGCATGATTTTCCTGTCAGTGCTGGTACACAGATTGTAAAGTAAATGTTTATACATTTGATATACAAGACACTCAACTCCTGACAAGGCAGGCAGGCTGTGGGGTTAGATGTTTTGTTTTTGTTTTGATTTGAACAAGGCTCAGGGAATACAGCTCCCACAGTCATCTACCAGTCAGGGTCTAAGGAAGTGAGTTGCACAGTGCAGCCAATGTGAGCTGCATGATATGTGATACTTTAAGGAATAAAGACAGCATACTATTTAATTGAAATACGCAATTGTAAAAGAGCATAATAAACTGCTTCTTATAAAAAAATGTGTTCCAACACTTTAATCCTCTTAATTGCCTTTTACTATATGGCAGATTAAGAAATCAGTGCCACTTCAGTATGTAATTAAATACTTTGTTATACATACACCATTTAGTTACTAGCATGTAAGCCTGCAAACTACACTTTATTCTACATCATTTTACACAATTATAAACATTTTGCAGGAGAAGAGAAATTGAGTTTTTTTATTATATACTGTACTCTAATTATTGCATTCCAGATCAGTACAAATATTAGGAAACAAGTTAGGGAACGTGGTGGCGCTGTGGGTTAAACCGCTAAAGCCTCTATGCTGCAAGGTCAGAAGACCTGCAGTTGGAAGATCGAATCCACGCAACGGAGTGAGCCCCTGTCGCTTGTCCCAGCCCCTGCCAACCTAGCAGTTTGAAAGCATGCAAAATGCAAAAATGTGAGCAGATAAATAGGTACTGTGTCTAGTCACGCTGGCCACGTAATCACAGACAATTGTCTGCAGACAAATTCTAGCTCTATGGGTTGGAAACGGAGATGAGCACCGCCACCTAGAGTCGGACATGACTAGACAAATTATCAAGGGGAACCTCTAGCAGGTAACAGGTACCATACATACCAACAGTATTTCCAGAAAAGAGGAAAAATAAATATGTGTTTGATAGTTGGCTGCATAACTCAGTGAGTTAGATAACTGGCTACAGAGCCAGAGGTTGGGAGTTCAGTTCCCCACTATGCAATCCCAGAAAAGCCAGCCTATGTAAACCTAGGGCAAGCTGCACAATCCCAGGGCTCCAGCAGGAGAAAGGAGTGGTAGAACACTTCTAAGTACTCTACCTAGAAAACCCTGAGGATGGTTGTCATAAATCAGAACTGACTTGACAGCACACATCATTATTCAAATATGATGTACACATACCTGTGCCTTTCTGTGATGTGGCACTCAGTTTAGAATTTCCACTATCTGCAGAATATATGGAGATAAATGCTGTTGTCACACTAAAGCTTCTCCTTCAACACTCATTTCTGTGACCCTTCTTTGGAAATTGTCAAGGCTAGGTACTACAAGAGCACAAGTATTTATTTATCAGCTGTGTATGTTCATAATTCAATGATCAAGTGCCACTGGAAGGTCACACCCTGTCTCCTGCATGAACGCCATGGCAAGAGGCAGGTTAACCTGGCTTTAGACAACTGTCGAAGTAGTGGCAGGAAACTTGTTTTGGCCATCAGTGCCTGAAACTAAATTTCTAAGAACTTTGGAGCTGAAGACTTTAAGCATAACTGAGTAACTTTTCAGCTATGCTTGGAAAAAAAGAACAAAGATGTAGTAGATCAATGGTACTGAAAGGAATAAAAAATGCTAATGAGACACAGATAGAAACGAGAACTGTTCAGCACCTACTTTGCCTCTGTTTTCTCACAAAAGGAGAACAGTACTCAATTTAGTGCAAATGAAATGAAGGAGACAGTGACACTTTTCAGGAACATTAAAAGTGTGGTATAGAACAATTAGGTAGTTGAAATGAATTCAACTACTCAAGACCTGATGAACTGCATTCTAGAGTACTAAAGCAAACTGCAGATGTAACTGAGAGTCTCCATCTATAATCTTTGAGAATTTTTAAGAGAACAAGTAAGGTCCCTGAAGACTGGGGTTGAGCATCTTCCAAAAAGAAACAGGATTTAGCATATATTTGGCAGGTTTTCGCATCTTGACGATGTCAAGAATGATTTTAGAGCAGATCATTAAAAAGTCAGTCTTGTGAGCATTTAGAAAAGGACACAATTACTACTAAAAGCCAGAACCATCTCCTTAAAAACAAATCACATCAAGGGAATCTTGTTCTCTTTTTTCTGACAGATATACCCCTTGGTTGATCAGACAAATACTGTGCATGTGGCTTATCTTGATTTCAGCAAGGTTCCTGACAAGGTCCTCCATTATATTCATGTGCATAAAATAAAAAAATGAATTTAAACACAGAAAAATCATGACATTCTACACATAGGCAGAAACAATCAGATGTATTAATACAGCATGGATGACACCTAGTTGATTCTTAAAGGTAAAAAAGGACCTACAGATCTTATTAGACCATAAGTGAAAAATGAGTCAACAATGTGATGTGGTGTCAAACCCTCTCAAAAATAAATAAAATATAAGATAAAACTGTGATGTATCAACAGAAATATAGTGTCCAGATAAAGTGAATATACAGAAACATTTTATTCTGCTTTAGTCAAATCTCACCTTAAATGCTGTACTGTGCTTGGTTCTGGAGCACCACAGTTTTAAAAAGGTATTGACAAGCTGGAATGTGTTCAGAGAAGGGTGATCAAGATGGTAAAGGGTCGACAAACTAAGCCCTAGGAAGAATAGTTCAGGGAGTTTGATTTGTTTATCCTGAAGCAGAGAAGATGGAGATAGCTATACTCATATACTTGAAGATCTGTCATGTGGAAGATGGAGCAAATTTGTTTCATGCAACTCCAGAGAATAAGACCTGAATAATAGATTCAAATTACAAGAAAGAAGATAATGAAAAAATATTAGGAAAAGCCCTATGACACCAATAACACAATTCAATGGACAGTGTCAGAAGTTGATGGCCTCTCTCCAATATCGGAGGTAGTGAAGAGACTAGGAAATGGGGCATGATGGTTTCAGTTGCTCTCTGAAATACAGGCCCATTTTAGCTTGCACCTGGAAGGAGCTGACCAAAGGAGTGGGGAGGAACTGTCCATTAATTGGAAGACTCTGCTCTCTGTGTACTTATTGACATGAGAAGGAATTTTCAAGGCTACAACCTCCAGCCCGGTTTGAGCTAATTAACAGACCTGGGTTCAGCTGAAGAGAAAGGAGGTGGAGAGAGTGAAATTACTTCGGAGAAATTAATCTCTGTGAAAGTTCAGGGCAACTCAATGCCTGATTGGTATATTCCCTAAAAGATCTGGGAGGTGGAAGGATGAGTATAAAAATGGAAGAAATGGCTTAGTTTAGCCTAGTTTCTCTTATGAGAATGCTATGCTCACCGGCACATGTTCTGAAACCATGCCCAAATTCTGCCAGATTGTGAGTAGTAGTTAACCTTCTTATTTTCTGTGGGAACTGTTCTGAAATTGCCTTTGCCTCAATATCTTTTGACTGCTTCTTTGCTCAACAAGCTTTTGACTGCTTTTGGATTTTGAAACCATTTCTGGAACTGTTTGGAACTTTATTCCTTTTGACTTCTTTTTGCAACACCTTCACTTAAACTATACATTAAACTATAAAATGTTACAGCAGGCTTAAACAGTTAACCTTGTCAATCTTTAGTAACTCCCTGGAGTACTGGTCAGTCAAAGTGACTCAAGGTGTTGGGAGGAGTATTGAACAGGAAGCTATAAGCATATTTAGCCCTCCCAAAGTCTACACACATCAGGAAAATCTGGGCAGTATGGCTAAATGATTAGTGTCGGCCTCTCTGACCCAGCCATAACCTTGACAGAGGTTTTTAATTAGAGGCTGTACAGCCATGTCTTAGGGATGCTTTGGTTGTGGATTTCTTCTATCAGAAAGGATTGGATTAAATGACCCTTGGGATTCCTTCCAGCAGTACAATTCTATGATCATATGAACTACTGTTTCAGTTTACATGTATCCTAATCTATCATGGGGTATGCATTTGTATCCCATTCTTTAGCCAAAACAGCTCCCAAAGCAGTTTACAAGATAGGTAAGTTAGGCACCTGATTATTTTTATGGCACTCCTTACTAGAGATGAGGATATCTGTATACGAATATTAAAATCTCCGCATAGCTGGAGTTAACAAGGGTCTGGCCCTTGAGGCCGGACTATCCACGCATGCGTCCAGCAGCAGCCACCTCGCTCATCCTTCCAATCACTCTTGGAGTGATACTCTCTTCCTGCTCGGCTAGCCACTCGGCAGCTGTGCAGGGAGACTCATCCTCCCTCCCCTTGCCTGGGAGGGAGGACAAGTCTAGCAGGAAGACAGCAGTGCTCCAGGAGTGATTGGAAGGATGAGCGAGGCCTCTGCCAGAAGGTCCAGCCCCAGGGGATGGACCATTGTTAATTCCAGCTGCGCAGGGATATTTGTATTCAGATACAAATATGAATACTCCCATCTCTACTCCTTACTCAAAGAACGCCAAAGAACAGAGAACACACTAACAGTAAAAACAAGACCTGAGCAGGTTTCTGCCTGCATATGGAGCTGCTTGTGACAGAAATAAATAGGGAAGCCTCCCAGTCACATTAAAAAGACTGGTAATTATTCTTTTCAAATGGCCATATGAAAGTCAGATAACACCTATTGTGCCAAATAATAATTCACCATGTTGAATTCGCATACATATACACTATGTATCATGTACAGTACCTCTCTGATATAACAGGTGATACTCAGCATTATTAATATATCTGAATACTAAATGAACACATTAAGTGGATTTACAGAACACAATACCAAACTGGAAAAAAACTTGGAACAAGTGCCTCACTGATCTGCCAGTAATTTAATGAATACTGTGAGAAGAACAAATATCATTACTCTTGTATTATGGTTTTATTTATTTATTTATTTATTTATTTATTTATTTATTTATTTA